TGCTGACGGTGCTATCAGGCTTCTTGTTGCCATCAGAGCTGAGGAAGATTTGCGCGCATCCAGTATAGAACTGAGGGTCCGAAGGGGCGTCGTGAAGAGCCAGGATCTCCGGACGGGCAAGGTAGTAGCCACCCTCAAGACCGGTTGGAAGGCTGACGGAGATCTTGCCGTTATAGACGCCAGAGACTCCGTTGCCACCCAGCTTCTGGTTGCACCACTTGCCAGTGCTCTCGTCGTAGCCTTCATCCCAGATCTTGAACCAACCGTCGCCAACAGCTGCTCATTGTCAGTGGTTGAAATAAGAAAGCAAGTAGAGCATGGCGTACCTGTGCTGTTGACAGCCGAGTCAACCTTCTTCAAGTAGACACCGCAAGGACCCTCGTGGCCAGGATCAATGGCACCGCTGCTGGTATCATCGGGACTGGAGCGGAACTCAAAGGACAGGACGGCGCCGTCATGGACGGGAACGACACGGGCGTTGCCTTCTTCACCATCGTATCCACATGCCAGCGCGTCGTCTCCAATGCTGATGGGGAAAGTAGCCTTGGCGGGATCCTTGCGCATGCGAATGCCAACACCGTCACCAGCGGAGGTGCCGTCAACCCAGAGGGTCGTGAAGGCGGTGTGGGCATCGACGGCAACGGCCGCGACGGCGGTCAAGGCGATTGGAAACTTCATTGTTCTTGCGGGAATGCGGCGTTGGCAATGTCAGATTGAATGCTGAAAGCGGAAGGACACAGAGCCAGCTGGGGAGAGGTTATGTAGTCGGAGCGGGTTGGAAGGCGAGGTAAAGTCCGAGGGAGGGGAGACAGGAATGACAGGTCGACTGCCAGGAAGAAGTGAGACGTCGAGGTCAGGAGGGTGTGCAAGAAGAAAGGAACGTGGGATGAAGGAAGAAGAGAGGTGGTTGCAAAGAGTGACTGGTGAAAAAAAAGGACCAGGCCAGACTTGGGCGACGAGGGCCGTTATTAAAGAAATTGACGGTGGAGCAGGCTGGACTCTGGCAGAAGGAGAGACTGGACGGAAGGAAAAAGGAAGGAAGGCGCAAAAGTGGTGAGAGAGCGGTGGTAGGTGTGGAGAAAGCATGATGACGGGCAGCAGGCAGGCAGGTGCAGGCATAGGAACAGGAACGGCGGGCGGCAGGGCCGGGCAGATGCATCTGATCATCTCCAGACCTTGTCGCCGACTGCTGCACCTGTAAATGACATGACGGGCACCAAGTTCACCTGTCTTTGGCCCAAATTGCAGGCCGCCAGCGTTTGTAGGCGGTGTTGAGGTGAGCCCGAGCCCTTGCGCGCCAAACGGCCGACCAGGCCAGCCCTGCCACCCCTCCGCCCAATCATGACCCGTCGCCGCCCGCTCTGAAACAAACACCACAATGCCATTTTTACTGCCCATCACTCTTCTTCTTTGTACTCTTCTTGCCCATAACCTTCCTATTCTCTATCTTACAACAACACCCTCATGCCCATTGTCTCTCTTTTGCACTCCTTGCCGCCGTCGCCCCAAACCACCATCCACATCGTCCCGTCATCGCTGCCGCTTGCCGTCCACGCGCCCGGTCCTCGATGGTCGCGCCGTTTGTCTGCATCGCGAGATTGCTCTGCATTTGGTAGGATGGATGGATGACCTCAGGCACAGCTCACAGCCGCCGACCCCGTTGCACCACGTCGGGCCTCTGTCAAAATTCATCTCCCCAACTGCCGCCCCACTCCTCTTCCAGCGCCCCCTGCTTCACTGCGCAATGGCCCACCGCTCAACTCCAACTCGTTGCTATACAACAGGACCTTGGCTAGGCACCCTGCCACTGCACTAATCCACCGTTTGTGCCAGTCTGAACGGCGCCAATCTTGAAAACTGACCAGCTCTTTACACAAACTAAACTGCAGCTGTCGACGGAGCCTCCCCAAGCCACTGTGCCACAGAGAGGCACGGAGAGGGGGTTGCCAAGGATCCCCAGCTACAAGCCGGAAGCAGAGGCATCCACTCGTTCGTTGACTGTCAAAAAGCCACGGCGCCCCGGAACTCCAACATGTGCCGATCACCATGTAGGCGCCTGTGAGAGCTCTCCACTGGCTCCCTTTGCGCTTTTGGAACAAGACCTTCTCGTCAGGCCCTGTCTTCCGGTCCTTTTTCCTGAGTGCTGCCTATCAAGAGCTGCTTGCTTTGCGCCGCTGACGGCAAACTCCGCAGAGCTGACCCGTTCCTGCTTCTCGTGGCATCCAATGGCGCAGTCCGAGGCTCAAACGACCACAGGCTCCAATTGGACAAGTAGTCGAACGCTTCCCAGCTCAATGTCGCACAGCACATGGACTGTCAAGACTGTCCTTCTCACCGTCCAAAGCCACTTTCCACGAACCCTGGTCTGAAGCCGCTCACCCGCTGTCAAGTTCTTTCTTTCTCCCAAAGTTGCTACCTCGATTCATACGACAGTGGCGATTGCAGACCTGGCATCGGAACGCTCAGGAAAACGCTCGGCTTCCCGTCTGGCAGTCGATCAAGAGTCAGCCGGTGGCCAGGTCTCATTTGAGTCTGTTGATCCACAAGAATCCACAAGAACATGGTTGGGCGCACCCGTCTGCAGAAGGCTCACTTGGTTGGTCTTGGATGAATCCCCTGAATTCGCGTGGCTCGGAGACGTTCTACGACACTGTGTCTGGGAGTAAAACACGGCATAGAACGGCTGTTGGTGGCGCTCGAGGTGTAGCACAGATGCCTGATGCTGTGAAAGCGCCAGAATGAACAACAACAACATGCTGCACTCACCACCTTCAGGACACCATCGAGCTTTGGCCGGCGGCATGGACCAGGATTTAGGACGGGAAGCTGTGTTCAAGTCTAAGGTTTCTCCACGCTGCATCAGTGGCCAATGCACTTCGGGGATCCACGGATTGCTGAGCCTGATTGACATCCTGACCACTCGACGCTAAGAAACTCTGGAAAATAAGCTTAGATTAACTTTGACATTGCTTAAACGCACCTTACTGACAGCAACGTTCAAAACATGCGCTCGTTGCATTGTGGCTACACCGTATCTCGCACCGGAAGACCGCCTGTGTCAACAAAATGCAGTTCAGGTGCGGGTTCAATTTAAACGCAGCCCACCACAAATGGGGTTTTAGGACACCAACTCATCTCCAACCCCTGCAAACCCCGACCGACAACCAGGAACCACCCAAAAAATTCATCAAAAACTTCGAGACCTCTGATGACGACGGACCCGGCCCGAAGGCCTGGTTGCGCAGTCGACCGGGAGCGGGAACCAGTCGCCCCGGCCCGGTTTCGCCTCTTCTACACAAAACATTGCAAAAGCTTGGTGTCGATGCTTATATCCGGCCACACGTGGTGTTGTCCAGGCCCGCAAAAAGCTGGCTGGGAAATTTCCCTGTTCCAAGGTGCAACAACAAACATGGAACCAGTCTTGCGGCCTTCACTACAATTAGACACGGCAGTCCATCATGGAGTCAGACAGCTTGGGTGACCGTTTTGTCTGGCCTAAACCGCGGGCGACGTGTAGCTACACGTAAGCCGATTAGAGATGCAGACACACCTTCATGGATCTTTAAATGAGCGGCAAAGTGGGTCCGTTTTTCCACCGGGCCTGACAGGCAGAAAAAATCACAGCATCCTTTTGCTGCTCAACGCCAAAGTGCACACCCCTGACCCAAACATGATCCTCTACGTCAGAGGCGGTCTACAGCAAAGAGTCGCGCGTATAACCAAATAGGAGACCAGTGTCCATTCGAAGTGGTGTTTGGATGCACTTCATTTACACAATTCCGCCATCGATGCGCTTCGATTGAGCTGCTTGCAGATGCGCGGTGATCGGCTTTCCCCGGATCCACTTCTCGAATTGGGCACTTGTCGCCGACGTGCTTGCGCCACAACGCACATCAGGAAGGCCTCTGCTATCGCACGCCTGGAACCTCCTTATCAATCCAGTCACAGAAAGTACCGCAGCAGCGAGGTCGGTGGAAAAGCAAAAATCGAACGGAGGAAGCTTACGCATGCCTACATTAGGCAAGTCGTCGACATGGGTGACAAGGCAGCTCTCTGCAAGCTCATATGGAAGTTCATTTGGAGACACTTTGCCGTGGCGTCGACGTTCGAGCGCTGTATGATCAACTGTCCTTCGTCTGTGATCTACACCCGTCAAACCGGCCGGCGGTGGCCATGCAGGTGCCCGCGTGCCGCCATTGCAGCTTTGACGATCTCTTGGACTGGAGAAGATGCGCTCTTGAAAGCACGTCTATGCAAGCGCAAACAATTCATCTGGAAAAATGCTGCTGCTGATGTGCTTGGGCATCAGCGCATCTGCCGTGTCTCCCACCACCGCATCCGTCTTGTCCCGTTCACTCTCAACCGTTCCCGGAAGACGGAACAGTGATGATATCCGCAAGTTGTCTTACTCGGTGGAAAAGCTGCAGCGTGGGACATTCAAGACTTTTGCCCTCGCCACTGTTGTTGCCTGCTTGGTGCTAGGACGCTATGGACAACGAGCAGAAAATCGAGCGCCTTGTGCCGAGGCGCGGATTTTCCTCAGTCCAAATCAGATCACCAAAGGCTTTTCAGTGTCGCCCAGGATCTCAAGTTGGACCGAGTACTGTGTTGAAAGCTCGACGACCTTGGATTGTAGGTATTGTGTCTTTCAACCAATTGGCCCCTCCACCCTCCCTCATGTCTTTCCATGTCTTCTGCTCAACCAGGATCTTCCAGTGTGAATCAAAAGCACCCGGCATATCGACATTGAAGGAAGCTGCTGGCTTTCTCGCACCGTGTTGACAACAGTGTGCCGCCATTCTGAGATCCCAGCGAAAATTGGAAGCACGACTGCAAATGCAACTGCTTTTATTCGACAGTCGAGTTGATTCTTCGGAAAAGCAACGAGATCACATCTAATGTGTGCATGAAAATCAGAGAGAAGAGTGGTCATCACTGGTACTTTTACGAGCACCTTATAAATTGTTTTAGCGGCTGTTATTCCAAGCCACTCATCACAGGGGTCAATGGTGTAATGGCAAGCATGTGCGCTTACTACACGCAAGGCCCAGGTTCGATTTCTGGAGGCCTCGTCAATTCCTTTTGCTCTTTCCCCTATCCTTTCTTTTTCATGCATTTGTTGGGGGTCGCGGGCGAAGAGCGGTGGCAAGAACGAGTTTCTCGCAGCTGAGCACCGCTTTGGCGCGGAGCATCTCCGCAGCACTCGATGACTCAAATTTTTGGACTAAAATTGCAAGTCACAAAGGTGCAAAAAGACGAAAGCTATGCGATGATGACGCGTAGAGGTGGTGGTGGTCTGCTGCGCCAACATGGACTAAAAGATCGCAGGTGTTTTTTAATCATCGGAGTCCGAGTATATTCTTGCCCTAGCCTTCTCGAACAATTCTGGAGGCTGCCAAGGAATTTATGATTGGTCGCCCTAGCAGCGTGCGCGACAGGATATCCCAGGTTGTTCCGGAAGCGGTAAGCTGGTACACGTTGGCTCTGCTTATTGCTTCTTTCGGTTAGGCAGGAAAATGGTCCGTCACCACAACCGTTGAACCGAACTCTACTTCAACACTATTTCCGCCGGAAAACGTGGTCGAATCCTCGAGGAATATTTTCCCGAAACACTGCTTTAATCCAGCATGTCAAAACTGGTGTCGTTGCTTGCGGTCTCAACTGCTGGTCCAAGTGCCGGCGCGTGGCGCTTACGCCAAGTTGGACAGCGAACCCCTACCACAGCCTTTGGCATCAACACATGAGCGGCGTTGTCACGAAACCATACCCGAGAGCGGTCACCGGTCTTGGTCCGGTCAACACCAGCTATCGAGAATCTTCGGACTGGCTTCATGCCTGGAGGACAGAACGCCGTCCATGCTGTCGTCGACACTTTCGCGCATCTTGCGCTGCAATCCAGCACGCAACCTGCACCGACGCGTCATGCCTCTCGAACTCCTCGCACTCACAAGACAAGCGTTGCTCTGCATTGCAGCCATGTCCATTCTGCTGGTGCGTGGGGTATATTGTGCAGTATCTGCCGCTCCAGCTGCTGATGTCTCCCGCCGTTGTCACTGACACAGTCCTACCCATGCCATGGCCTCTTCCCCCTTGCATCACCACGCGAGTCGTCCACGCCGTGCATCGACTGCCTCACGACAGTCTGACATCTCGACCGTTGCGCTAGTGGGAGGGGAGGCGGAGCCACCGCGCCGCGATGATCTTTGGCGAAAACGTGAGTCAGAGCAGCGGAGGAGGACGGCTGAGCCCAGACGACATTGGGAGCAGCTCGATTCAAGAGAAAGGGGAAGACGGGGACGGATAAGGGGTGGGAGAGATGAGTATTATGGACGCATAGAGCGAGCACCACCGCCGCCTCCTCCGAACAATCCTGAGAAGCCACATCCACCCGTGGTGGGTTTTTGGGATCCAAGTCTGAGCGACGTCAGACGCAAGACGGTGCGTTTATGGGTGTACACGACCATCATTTTGATGCTCTTCATTCTATCTGTTCTCTCAATCTGTAAGTGAGCCCCTAAAATAAGAGGTACCCCCTGACATGACAGATTGGGGCGTCTTTTCGAACTTGCCCGAGAACCTCGGCACGCTGACCATCTACATCGTGGACATGGACGGCGCGCCGCCGTACAACAGTAGCGGCCATAAGCCGTTCGTAGGGCCCGCTTTGGTCGCGCTCGCCGAAGAGTACCACGCGAAAGGAAAGACGCTGGGCTTCACGACCATCGCCGGGGACGCTTACGACAACGACCCCGTCGCAGTAAGGCAAGCTGTTTACGACTGGGAGGCATGGGGAGCCGTGACGATCAACCCCAACGCAAGTGCACTGCTCTTTTCGGCGCTGGAGAAGGGCAACGGGACGTTTGATCCAGCGGGCGCCTGTCAATTTACCTACGTGGGCAGCCGAGACGAGACCAACATCAACAGCTTCATCCTCCCAATCATGGCGGACTATCTCTTCGCCGGACTCGGACGAGCAGGCAAGCAATGGTCACAACAAGCACTCAACGCCGCCAGCAACAACACCACCATCCTCTCCCACCTGCGCGACGCGCCACAACTCCTCAACCCAGGAATCAGCTACTCAACCTACGACCTCCGCCCGTTCAACCCGCTCGTCGGCATCCCGGCCGTCAGCATCGGGCTCATCTACCTCGTCATCCTCTCCTTCTTCAGCTTCAGCTTCTACCTGCCCATCCACGCCAAATACATGACGCGGCCGGCGCCGCACCTGCCCGTCCTCAAGCCGCCGCACTACATTGTGTGGCGCTGGCTCTCCACCACCACCGCCTACGTCTTCCTGAGCCTCGCCTACAGCAGCATCAGCCTCGCCTACGGCATCAACTTCAGCGGCAGCGGCGGCGCCCAGCGCGTCTCCTCGACCTACAGCACCTCGCTCGCCTTCGGCAACAGCCCCGCCTACGGCGCAAACTCGTTCCTCGTCTACTGGGCCCTCAACTTCTTCGCCATGATGGCGCTGGGGCTCGCCTGCGAAAACGTCGCCATGATTGTTGGGTAAGGACTGTCCCCTCCCCCTCATCATCTTTCCCCCCTCATATCTTCATCCCACCACCACCTTACCCACCAAGCTAACCTCCTCCTCTTCCCAAACCAGCGCGCCATGGGTCGGCCTCTGGCTCATCTTCTGGGTCATCACCAACGTGTCGACGGCCTTTTACGACGTCGACATCGAGCCGGGCTTCTACCGCTGGGGCTACGCGTGGCCGCTGCACCACGTGGTGCAGGCGGCCAAGCAGATCCTGTTCGACCTGCACAGCCAGATTGGCGTCAACTTCGCCGTGCTCATCACGTGGGCGGTTGTGAATACGTTGGTGTTTCCGTTTGCGTGCTGGTTCATGAAGTGGAAGAAGGATAGGGGCGTCAATGAGTATTGGAGGTAAAGAATGGTTTTGAAAGGGTTTGAGAAGAAGATGAAGAAGGAATTCCAAAGCGTCTGTGTCCTCGTCTCGGATGTCGGTCATCGATAGGTCGGTTTTGCACCAGCATAGGTAGTAGTACGTTGAAAGTTCGTCCAAATTTATCAAGGTCTGGTCTTCAAACACCTTGAACCGAGAGAAACGGAGAATGTGCCAGATGAACGTGAATCTGACTCTCACAAGGGGCAAGAGGATCCAGTCGAAACGACTGTGACTCGGAAATACTTTTTTTGAAATTCGTACCGCTTTTCTAGCAACGTGGCCCCCGAGTTCCTCTCGCTCTCATCATGCCCAAAATGCCGGGAAAACGTAACTTAACAAAGATTTGGCGCCAGAAGCCCCGAAAACCCACACACCCTGGGATGACGCCGTGGCTCATGTCATCCGAATCCGACAAACCACCCCGTACTCCTCGCCTCCCTCACCACCAGACGTTAATCCACAACACCACCACCGGCTTAGTAGCTGCGGCCAAACATGACAAACTTCTTGGCCTTGCGCTGGCAGTTGGGGTTGATGCACTTGGTCTCGCCCTCGACGAGACCCTCCTTGGGCTGCTCGTAGGGAATGCAGAGCGACTTGGCACCCATGGACGGGGCGCGCGCGTCCTGAGCGACGCCGGTGGCCTCTTGGTGCTTCTTCGCAGACAGGTCCTTGATCTCGTCCTCGCAAGGGCCGTCGAGACAGTGGGGAATGACGCAGACACCCTTGTTGTCAAGGTGGGGAACAAAGTCGTTCCAGTCGAGAATGACCTTGCGGGCGTTGCTGAACGCACCCTGAGCCTTGGCAAAGAGGTCGCTCTGGATGGTTTCAAGCAGAGCAGGAATCTCCTTGCCCAGATCGGCAATGGCAATCTGGGGCTTGCCCTCCTGGTCGCGACGAGAGACGGTGACCTTCTCGGCAGCAGCGTCCTTGGGACCAAACTCGATGCGGAGGGGAACGCCCTTGAGCTCCCAGTCGTTGAACTTCCAGCCGGGAGAGTAGCCCTCGCGGAGGTCGGTTTCAACGCGGACGTCGGCAGAGCGGAGCGTCGAGGCAATCTCCTTGACCTTGCTGTACAGCTTCTCACGATCTTCTTCGCTCGTCTTGGCGGTGATACCGACGGGAACAATGACGGCCTGGATTTCGGCGACGCGCGGGGGGATGACCAGACCCTTGTTGTCCGAGTGCGTCAAGACCATGACACCAATGGAGCGAGTCGTCAAGCCCCAGGAGTTTTGCCAGACGTGGATCGGGGGCTTCTTTTGCTCGCCCTCCTTGAGCGGAGTGGGATCCTCAACGGTAATGTCAAACATCTTTGAGAAGTGCTGTCCAAGGCAGTGGCTAGTTCCTCCCTGGATACCGCGGCCGGTGGCCGGAATGTAGCCCTCGACGGTGGTGGTGTACTCTGCACCGGGGAACTTCTCGTTGTCGGTCTTGACACCCTTTACGACCGGGACAGCGAGCAGCTCCTCGTAAATGCCACGGTACCAGTCCAGAATCTGGAGCACCTCCTCGCCGGCTTGTTCCAGGGTCAAGTGCGCAGTGTGACCCTCTTGCCACAAGAATTCTCTCGAACGGATGAAGGGCATGGGGTGCTTGAACTCCCATCTGACGACGCTGTTCCACTGGTTGAGCTTGAGGGGAAGGTCGCGGTGGCTGCGAATCTCGTTCGCAAAGTACGGGTACATGGCCGTTTCCGAAGTCGGGCGGACGGCAACGGGCTTCTCGAGATCACTCTTGCCTCTGGATATGTTTAGCCCAAGATCACCAGAAGCTTGCAATTGACTCACCCCTTTGTGACCCACGCGACCTCAGCCGCGAAACCCTCAATGTGCTCCTTCTCCCTCTGCAGGTTGTCTTGCGAGATGAAGATGGGGAAGTAGCAGTTCCTGACACCAATGGACTTGATACGCGTGTTGAACCAGTTCTGGATGGTCTCCCAGATGGCGAAGGACGAGGGCTTGAGAATATAGCAGCCGGCGACATCGTAGTAGGCAAGCATGCCGCCCTTGGTCAAGACCTGCTGGTACCACTCGCCCAAGTCGTCCTCTTTGCGGACATCGATACCGATGAGAGCAGCGCCCTCAATCTTCTTCTTGGCCGCGGGCTTCTGAGCGGGCTTATCCTTCTTTTGCTTGGGCTCCTTGGGCTCCTTC